TCACCGTGTTGACCAGGATGGTCTCGATCTCTTGACCTCGTGATCCACCCGCCTTGGCCTCCCAAAGTGCTGGGATTACAGGCTTGAGCCACCGCGCCCGGCCTAATTTTTGTATTTTTAATAGAGACTAAAAATGATTTCACCATGTTGGCCAGGCTGGTCTCAAACTCCTGACCTCAAACTCGTGATCTGATGGCCTCAGCCTGCCAAAGTGCTGGGATTACAGGTGTGAGCCACTGTGCCCGGCCTATTTTTGTATTTTTAGTAGAGACAGGTTTCACGATGTTGGCCAGGCTGGTCTCAGACTCCCAGCCTCAGGTGATCCACCCACTTCGGCCTCCCATAGTGCTGCGATTACAGGAGTGAGCCACCATGTCCAGCCAGACCTGGATTTCAATACTAGTCCTGCCCCTTATTAGCTGTGTGGCCCTGGGCAAGTTATTTAATCCCTAGAACCTCTATATCATCTGTAAAATAGGGACTTCATAGAACTGATGAGAGATTTCAAAGGGATAATGCTCGTGACTTAACTTTTGTACAAACCTCTTAAACAGGTGGCCCCCATAACCTCGGGTTCTGCATCCTTTGGTTCAACCAACCACGCATAGAAAATGAGAATAAGCCGGGTGCAGTAGCTCATGCCTGTAATCCCAGCACTTTGGGAGGCTAAGGCAGGTAGATCACAAGGTCAGGGGTTCAAAACTAGACTGACGAACATGGTAAAATCCCATCTCTACTAAAAAATACAAAAATTAGCCTGGTGTGGTGGCGGGTACCTGCAGTCCCAGCTACTCAGGAGGCTGAGGCAGGAGAAGCTCTTGAACCTGGGAGGCGGAGGTTGCAGTGAGCTGAGATCGTGCTCCTGCACCCCAGTCTGGGTGACAGAGTAAGACTGAATCTAAAAAAAAAAAAGAAAGAAAATGAAAATTAAAAATAACACAATAAAAAAATGCAAATAAAAAACATTACAGGATAACAACTATTTACATAGAATTTACACTGTATTAAGGTATATTAAGGTGTTATTAGTAATCTAGAAATGATTTAAACTGTACTGGAGGGCTGGGCGTGGTGGCTCATGTCTATAATCCCAGCACTTTGGGAGGCCACAGGAGGTGAATCACTTGAGCCCAGGCGTCTGAGACCAGGATGGGCAACCTGGTGAGATCCCTTCTCTACAAAAAATACAAAAGTCAGGTGTGGTGGTATATGCCAGTGGTCCCCTCTTGAGGCTGAGGTGGGAGAATCGCCTGAGCCCAGGAGGTCGAGAATGCAAGTGAGCCCTGTGATTGTACCGCTGCACTCCAGCCTGGATGACAGAGTGAGATACTGTCACTTGAGTACATTTTATTTTATTTTTTGACAATAAATAAAATAGGCTGGGCGAGGTGGCTCACAACTGTAATCCCAGCACTTTGGGAGGTTGGGGTGGGTGGATCACTAAAGGTCAGGAGTTTGAGACCAGCCTGGTCAACATGGTGAAACCCCGTCTCTACTAAAAATCCAAAAATTAGTAGGGTTTGGTGGCATGCACCCGTAATCCCAGCTACTGGGGAGGCTGAGACAGAAGAACTGCTTGAACCTGGGAGGCAAAGGTTATGGTGAGCACCACTCACTCTGGGTGGCAGAGCGAGACTCCATCTCAAAAATAAATAAATAAAATAAAATTTACTGGAGGCTGTACATGGGTTATAGCAAACACTATGACACTTTATATACGGAACTTGAGCAGCCATGGATTTTGGCATGGGGGCTTCTAGAACCAATTCCCCACAGATCGTGGGGTACCAAAGGACAACTGAACTCATCTGATAAATATCTACTTGACAGGGTAATGGTAGAAATTAAATGAATAAATACTTGTGAAGGGATCAGGACAGTGCCTGGCTCACAGTAGGTGACCAAAGTTAGCTCTATGAGTATGAGTATGAGTATGTTTACACATCTGCATATTAACAGTAAGTGCCTGGCAATACTGGGAGCTCAAACCGATGGCAGGTAGTATTAGGGGAAGTGCAGCTTCCCCTTCCACAGTCTTCAGAAGATTTCATGCCAGGCATAGAGCAGGCCATTCTTATTCCAAGTGGTTTGACTTGGCTGTTTGACTTTATTTATTGAGGGCTCAATCGGTGTAGTCTGGGAAGGCTTCATGGTGGAGGTGGCCACTGGAGATAGTGAGGCAGTTCATTCCAGGCAGTGGGAAAGGATGGATCATTTGCAAGGAGTGGCTGTGCTAGATGAGAGAGGCCATCCAGGATGCCAGATGTCACATCACCAACTTTCAGGATTAATTTCTGTCTCCTTACCATAGCGATGAATGTTCCCATTTGATAGATGCAGTAATAGGATCAGAGAGGGTCATCGGGGTTCTTAGGGTCCCTGAGGAGTCCAGTGCTTGGGAGGCTCTCTGTGAAGCTCCCGGGATGCCCCCCAGCTCCAGGAAGTCCCCTGAGCACGCTTATGTTTGGGAAGCTCTGGAAGAGTGGTGACCTGTCTCCTAGGAGCAGAGGCAGTGCCTCCCCCATCTTTAGGACCTGGGTCTAGGGTCCTTTAGAGCCTCACCTGGGCATAGGACTTCCATTGTTCCAGCCCCTCTCTCGTACCCCAGACTAGCCAAACCGGTTCTGGGGAAGGGGGGTGGGGAGCAGGCACGTTGAGACAGCCGCTGCCTCTCCGCAAGGTTCCCTCCTCCTTCACCTCCCCCTCCCTGCCCCACACAATACCCAGGAGCTTGCCTTGCTGGGCTCTGGGGCCATGCTGACATGCTGACATTGCCCCCTGAGGACTTGGCTGCCACCCCAGAGTCCCCAGGGTGCCCTGGAGCCCTGGACTGTGCTGGCAGCTGGACGGAGCTCCCTGGCTGAGGTAGGGCCCCACCTGGGTGCCAGCCATCCCATTCTCTTCCCGCCAGTTTTCCCCTCTGAGTGATCTCTTTGTGCTGCCTGCCTGGTCTCTGATCCTGGCCCTGACCCACTATGGCCTTCCAGGGCTCTGTAAACCTTGCCTGGATCCCCTTTCCAGCCATGACCTCCCCCTTGGCTTTATTCCTTCAAGGGCAGAGAGGCCCTGGGAGGGTCCCCACTCTTCTGGGCAGCAGGGCAAGAGGCACCTGGGAGGGGGCAGGGAAAACCTAGGCACAGGAGGCCAGAAATGCTTTCTGTGACCATGGTGGTATTCAGGGACTCTCTCTGGTAGCCTTGCTAAGTGAGCCCATCGTCCCCTGTAATTAGTAGCGCCCACCAAGGGTATGTTCCTCGGCCCCTGCCCATCCTTCTTGGCCCAGAGACATTTATGATGAGACACGTTTCTTAGAGAGGCCATCAGGTGGTGGTGGGATCCCTTAAGAGCCACTTTACAGATGGGAATACTGAGGCCAAGGGATGGGCTATGACTTGCCTAAGGCCACACAGCTGGTCAGTGTCAACACTGGGCCTAGGAGCTTGGGTGGGGGTTATTCTCTTCGGGCTCCACAATGGCCCTTGCCTAGTAGACACTGGAGTCTCTATCCAGAGATCATGCCTTGGGAAGGTCATGTCCCCGCTGTCTGGGGCCAGTTCTCTTTCCGAGGTTTTTGTTTGCTTTTTCTAACAGAGATGAACTACACATAATATGAACCCAGCTTATCCCTCTTAGCTCTCCAGCATTGAGGTTGGGTGTGCCAGATCCCTGGAGGGCCACAGGGCTGGCATCGCAGCTAGATGGGTCATTCTCATTCTCCTTGGCCTGAGCATAGGTGGAGGCCGACACACTCCTGACCTCCCTGCTGGGACCTGCCTCCAGCTTCACCTCCCTGGGAAGCCTTCTACGTCCCCTCTCCCCACAATCACCTAGCCTTCTCCTCTGAGGCCTTAACTGGGGGTGCTCCTGCTGCAAAGCCTCAATGTTTTGCTTCCTTACCCCTGCAAGTGATGGGAAGAAGGGTCCCTCCCTGCCCTCCAGGGACTTCCAGAACCCAAATGCAAGAATCTCCCTCCCAAAATACAAGGGGGTAGGGGGCATGTGTACATGCTGCATATGTGTGCCCCCAGAAGCAAGGAGGACTTGTGTGTCAAGGACTCCTGATTCCTGCAGAGAAAGAGACCTGTCTGCGGGCAGGGGCCTCCTTCCGCACACTCCTGCAATGTAATGTCTGTCTCAGCCTCGCTCCTTCCTCTTCCCCATCGGTGTAAAGGACCGAGCCGCCTTCTGTCTAGAGAAAGACTGATAAAAATACTACCCTATTTGCCAGATGAGGAAACTGAGGCTTAGGGAGACTTGCTCAAATGGGCACTCTTCAGGTTAGAGGGACAGAGGCTGACGGTACAAACCAGAGTGGCCACTGTAGAGAGGGCCCCTTTGGAGCACCTGTCCCCTTCTTCCCACCCTCCCAGGTGGTGGGGGTGAAGGGAGCAGGGAGAAGCAGTTGAGAAGCTGTGCAGAGAGACTGGGGCCTGCCACAGACCGAGCCATCTCTCACTGGGTCCTCTTCTCCCTTCCTGCCTCCAGCAGTGACTGACACTATCACTGTTCAGGCCAAGGCTTTCTCTGTAAGTGCACTAGGTATTTCAGCCATGGAGCAGTTACCTATGACCTCCTCCAGGAAGTCTTCCTGGAATACCCAGGTTGAATTGAGTCCAGCACCCTCCTCCGATGGCTCCTCTGGCTTGGCTCTTGCCAACCTGGATTGTAACTGTTTTCGTTTTTGGCTCTGCTACTAGACTGGCAGCCCATGGGCATGACATGTTTGTCCATCTGTCTCCCTGGGTTTTTCTGGGCTTCATCTGTGTCTCTGAGGATCTGGCTGGTCTGAAATTGTCAGTGTCTCTGTCTCCATCTCTGAGTCCCTGAATGTCTCAGCATCTGTGGTTTTTCTGTTTTTGAGTGTTTTGGGGTCTTGGTTTCTGGGTTGCTGGCTAACTGGTCTCTGTTTCTCTAGGTCTCTCTCAGTCTTCGTCTCCTGGCTTTCTTGGTCCTGCCAGGCTGGGCACTGCCCCTTTGGCCTGAGGGGGCCTCTGGGGGGTCCTGGCTGCCTGGCCTGCCCACAGCGAGGCCACGCTAGGGTAGGCCCCCGCCCAGCCCGCTGCCTGCTCCCTCCCTCTCTCCCTGCTTGCCTCACCACAGGGTTTGATGAATCAAACTCTTTGTCTGGGTGGGATCTCCCCCAGCCGGCTGGGCAGAGAGAGGGCTTCCCCTGCCAGAGCAGCCAAACAGCATCAGCAAGCGGGCCTGGGCCTGGAGAGGTGAGGGGCTGTAGGAGGGAGGCTGGCGGAGGGCCACAGGGCAAGGGCTGCGGGGACTCGGGCCTCTCAGATCATCAGCCCTGTCCTGATCGGAAAGCTGCCTCCCAGGGATAACATCCCGCCCAGAAAGGACCCATCCAGCCTGGCCACCCAGGGCTGGAAGCTGGGGTGGGGAATAACCCCTCTTTCACTCCAATCCTGGGGGCTGGGGCATCTCCCTGAACTTCTCCGGGAGAGCCCCTGACTGGGTGGTGGCCCGCCTGCCAGTCCGTGACCCTCCCAGCCAGCTTGGCATGGGTGTGGGCACCACTCAGTGCTGAAGGCCACAACTCTGGGCGAGGGTCGGGGTTGGGGGGAAGAAACATCAAAGCAAGGACCTGTGGGCTGGTGCGTGTGCATCCTGGGGTGTGCGTGTGAAGGGGACAGGAGGTTGAGAAATCGTGGGTGCCTCTGTAAAAATCGGACGGGTCGGCGTGTTTGTGAGGAAGTGTCTGTGAATGTATGCGGTCGTGTAAAAAAGAGTGTGTCTGTGAATGTGTGAGCCCGAGTTTGAAATGTCTGGGTCTATGAACATGTACGTGTCATTCTATACTTGGGAGAAAATGTAGTGTGGATGTATATATTGGGACATGGATTTGTGTGACAATGTATGTATTTGCATGTCTGGTGACATGTCAGTGTGTTGGAGAAGGTACAAGGTGGTTAAAAGCACTGATTTGAAAGCTAGAATGGCTGGGTTAGAATCCTGGCTCCACCATTTACCAAATAACCTCTCTGTGCCTCGCTTTCCTCACCTATAAAATGGGATAATAAGAGCATCAACTTACAGGGTTGTTATGAGGACTAAATGAGTTAGGGTGTGTAAAGTGCTTGGCCTATCCTTCCGGCAATGCCAAGCAAGTATCAGCTATTCCTATATAATTAGACGTGAGTGTATTTGTGCAGATGCGTGCACACAAGTGTACACAGGGGTTTGTCCAGGCCTCCAGGGGGAGTGGCTGACTGGCCAGCCTCACTATCCTGTCTGGGTCTGATATCTTCTCTTCTGCAGGCCCAGGTGGGTGGCAGAGCAAAGGAGGAATGGACTGTGGGCCACCTGCTACCCTCCAGCCCCACCTGGCTGGGCCACCTGGCACTGTCCGCCGCCCTGTAGCCGTGTGCCAGCAGGAGAGTCTGTCCTTTGCAGAGCTGCCCGCCCTGAAGCCCCCGAGCCCAGTGTGTCTCGACCTTTTCCCTGTGGCCCCAGAGAAGCTTCGGGCTCCTGGCAGCCGCTGGTCCCTGGGGACCCCTGCCCCTCTCCAAGGGTTGCTATGGCCATCATCCCCAGGAGGCTCAGATACAGAGATCTCCAGTGGGGGGATGCGGCCCAGCAGGGCTGGCAGCTGGCCGCACTGTCCTGGTGCCCAGCCCCCAGCTCTGGAGGGACCCTGGGGTCCCCAGCACCCACAGCCACAGCGCCGGGCCAGCCATGGCTCGGAGAAGAAGTCTGCCTGTGAGTCACCCTGGGGGAGGCGGGTATGGGTGCCACAGTGGGGTGGATAGGGAGGGGCTGGGCAGCTCCTTAATCTTTATGTCCTAAGGTTCCCCCAAAAGTCAGGACAAGTGGTAGATTTTAGTGATAAGGAGACTAGCGGGGCTCAGGGAAGGCAAGCGACTTGTCCAAGGTTATGCAGTGAGGGAGTCACCATCCTGGGCAGCCCAGCCCCTCTGCCTACTGCAGTCAGGCCCTGTGCTCACCTTACCCCTCTCGCAGACCCCTATGGGAACCAGATGCTAGCAGAAACACAGGCCCTTTTCCTTGGACATGGCGCCTGAACCTCCCCAGGTGCTCAGGGCCAGGGCAGCAGCAGGGAGGAGGTTGGGGGAGACCCCAGACCGTGCTCTCACACCTTGCCCCCCAACCCTAGGGCGCAAGATGCGGGTGTACCAGCGTGAAGAGGTCCCCAGCTGCCCTGAGGCCCACCCTGTCTTCCTGGAGCCTGGCCAGGTAGTGCAAGAGCAGGCCCTGAGCACAGAGGAGCCCAGACCGCTGGAACTGTCTGGGTCCACCCGAGTGAGTCTCGAGGGTCCTGAGCGGAGGCGATTCTCAGCCTCGGAGCTGATGACCCGGCTGCACTCTTCTCTGCGCCTGGGGCGGAATTCAGCAGCCAGGGCACCCATCTCCGGCTCAGGCACTGGTGCAGTCCGGGAAGGTACCAGCTCCTCCCATGGGCCCTGAGAGCAGCCAGATGCCGGGTAGGGGTGGGGGATACCCACTCACTGGCCGCCTGAGGCCGTCAGGGTGCCAGGGCCGGGGCCGGGGACCAGGGCCAGTCTCTGGACTCCTCACCCTCAGTTCTCGCCCTTTCCAGGGAAAGCATCTGGAATGGAGGGGCGAAGTGCAGAGACGAGTGGGGATGGAGTGTTGCGGCCAGCCCCTGGTGACTCAAGAGAGGGCCATGGTGGTTGGCACGAGCCCAGGTACCATCTCCCGCTTGGGTCTTGGGTCCAAGACGGGGTGCAGGCGAAGAAGGGCCGTGACGCACTCTCTTTCGTAGGCTAGACATGCAGGAAGAGCTGCCTTTGGGGTCCAGGAGCACCAACGAGCGGCGCCAGTCTCGATTCCTCCTTAATTGTACGTGTCAACTGTACGTGGGAGGGGGTCTCAGGGAGGAGGTAACGGGGTTTGGAGAGTTGGGAGGTAGAGATCGAGTGAGAAACGGAGAATGGAACTCTCGGTATCTAGCACGCAGTAGGTGCTCAATTTGTTTATGTAATGAATGAATGAATGAATTCACTGTGTCCGGATATCCGAAGCGCGGCAAAGGTTAAGTGACGCCGGGTCTTGGGGCAGCCGGGGAGGAGCCGGGCAGGGGTTGGCGGGCGCCCCACGGTCCTCGCCCGCCCGTCTTCCCCCCAGCCGTCCTCTATCAGGAATACAGCGACGTGGCCAGTGCCCGCGAACTGCGGCGGCAGCAGCGGGAGGAGGAGGGCCCGGGGGACGAGGCCGAGGGCTCGGAGGAGGGGCCGGGGCCGCCGCGCGCCAACCTCTCCCCCAGCAGCTCCTTCCGGGCGCAGCGCTCGGCGCGAGGCTCCACCTTCTCGCTGTGGCAAGACATCCCCGACGTGCGCGGCAGCGGCGTCCTGGCCACGCTGAGCCTGCGCGACTGCAAGCTGCAGGAGGTGGGTGCACGAGGGGGCCCGACGGGGCGGGGCGGGCCGGGAGTACGCGGTCCGGGGACTTCGCGGGAACCCTGGCGTTGGAGGGAGGAGGACACAGAAAGGAGGTGCTGGCGCGACTGTTCGCGTGGCGGGCGGGCGCTAGGACCTGACTACCCTAGGCCGTCTGGAAGCGAGGCGGAGCCGGGAGCTCCGGGAGGTAGGCCCCGGTTGCGAGTAGGGGGCGGAGCCAGCGGGACGAAGCCTAGGATAGGGCAGGGGCGGATGAGGGGCGGAGCCATTCCGAGCGCAAACGCCTGGTGGGCCGGGGAAAAGGCGGGGCCGGGGCCAGGGCAAGGCCTGAGGTGGGCGGGGCTCGGGGGGCAGAACACGTCGGGGCGGGGCTAAGGGGAGGGGCGGGTTCGAGGGCTTGAGCTGGGCTTGCACAATTGCCCGCGGCAGGAGGTGGGTCGTCTGGCCCACCCGGCGCCAGATTAGGAATGGGACTATAGCAGGGGCGAGGACGCGAGGTGTGGCTGTGTCTAAAGAGGTGGCGTCCTGGGGCGGGGGATGCGAGGCCAGGGCCTCCGAGGTGAACTGGCCCGGCCCTTTCGACCCCGTGTGCGCCCTTCCTCAGGCCAAGTTTGAGCTGATCACGTCCGAGGCCTCCTACATCCACAGCCTCTCGGTGGCTGTGGGCCACTTCCTGGGTTCTGCCGAGCTGAGCGAGTGTCTAGGGGCACAGGACAAGCAGTGGCTGTTTTCTAAACTGCCTGAGGTCAAGAGCACCAGCGAGAGGTGAGGAAGTAGTCTGGCTGGCCCCGGGGTGGAGACTCAGCCTGTGGTTGGCCGGCTCCCAGATCTGGAGTCTCCATCCTGGCTCTGACCCTTCAGGTTCCTGCAGGACCTGGAGCAGCGGCTGGAGGCAGATGTGCTGCGCTTCAGCGTATGCGACGTGGTGTTGGAGCACTGCCCGGCCTTCCGCCGAGTCTACTTGCCCTATGTCACCAACCAGGCCTACCAGGAGCGCACCTACCAGCGCCTGCTGTAGGGCTGGGGGCTCTGAAAGGGGTGGGGGCTTGGAGGGAGTCTCAGGCAGGTGCAGGCATTGAGGAGTGGATGATGCAAGGTGACTCTGGGAGGGGAGGGGCCCCTGAAAGGGTCTCTGTGGCCAGGATAAGGTGAGTTGTGACCCCAAGGGGCAGCAAGGATGTGCTGAGAAGGCACCTGAGGACCCCGTGGATGGCCAGGGTCGTGAATCCCAGGAGTTCAGGCCCACCTGTGATTCCAGAGCCCTTCCTATTTTCTAGCCTGGAGAACCCCAGGTTCCCTGGCATCTTGGCTCGCCTGGAGGAGTCCCCCGTGTGCCAGCGTCTGCCCCTTACCTCCTTCCTCATCCTGCCCTTCCAGAGGATCACTCGCCTCAAGATGTTGGTGGAGGTACCTCAAGGGCACAGGCTGGGCGAGGGGGAGACACCCGCGGGTGGGCCGGCTCTCGGGGAGCATGAGGCCTGCCACATTGTGCTGATCCCACCTTCTAGAACATCCTGAAGCGGACAGCACAGGGCTCTGAAGAAGAAGACATGGCCACTAAGGCCTTCAACGCTCTCAAGGAGGTGAGCTGGGCTGGGCAGGGCAGGGGCTGCTTGGCTCCTGAAGCTCCCCGGACCCCCAGCATGTCTCTAAAACAGCCCCTAGCCGTCAGAGTCTCCAGTCTCCCCAGGTGAGAGTCTGAGGCTGGGCTCTGGGAGCCAGGGCTGAGGGGCTACAGGTGACCTCCCCACAACCCCCCCACAGCTGGTGCAGGAGTGCAATGCTAGCGTGCAGTCCATGAAGAGGACAGAGGAACTCATTCACCTGAGCAAGAAGATCCACTTTGAGAGCAAGGTGTCTGCAGCCAGTGGGATGGGCACCCCAAGGGGCAGCTCTTGTTTCCTGCTTGCCCTGGGGTCTTCAGGCCAGTACATCGCTGCCCACACCCTCCCATCTGCCCTCCTGTGCTCTGGTGCCCCTGGGCCTGACCCGTTCTACTCCATCCCTCTAGATTTTCCCGCTGATCTCTCAGGCCCGCTGGCTGGTTCGGCACGGGGAGCTGGTTGAGCTGGCACCACTGCCTGCAGCACCCCCTGCCAAGTTGAAGCTGTCCAGCAAGGCCGTCTACTTACACCTCTTTAATGACTGCTTGCTGCTCTCCCGGCGGAAGGAGTGAGTCGGGGCAGTTGGGGGTGGGTAGGTAAACTGGAGCCAGGCTCTCTTTCTCCCTACCACTGGGCCTGGGAGCCCCTGCCTGTGCCAGGGTGTGCTGCCAGGGCACCCTGGGCTTTGGTGGAGGCTCCTGAAGTAAAGGCAGAGATGTGAGACTGGTCCATGTTCCAGAAGGGAGAATCAGGGGCTAGAGTGTGTGCTGAGGACTTGGAGCTGCTGTGGGCTTCAGCCAGTTAGAGCAGAGACTAGGAGCATGGCCCTGCGGCCGCAGCTCTGCCCTGAGTCGTAGCTGTGCTAGCAGCCAACATTTCCTCAGTACCTACACTGTGCCAGGCATGCTATGTGGATTATTCCCTCTAATCCTCCAAATACCTCCCTGGGAAATAGGCTTCTCTGTTACTGTCAGATCATGGAGCTAGTAGGTAGAGGAGCCGGGGGAGGCCAGCTCTGTCTGATGGCAACACTGTGTCTGGCTCACAGTAAACATTCGCTCAGTATTAGCTGGATTATTATAAGTGAGGGGCGAGGTAGAAGACTCGTGGATAAGATGAATGGGATAAAGGGTGAACATGTGGGCCGGGCACAGTGGCTCACACCTGTAATCCCAGCACTTTGGGAGGCCAAGATAGGAAGATACCTTGAGTCCAGGAGTTCAAGACTAGCCTGGGCAACATAGTGAGACCCCATCTCTTTAAAAAAAAAAAAAAAAAAGATGGACATGTTTTGCTATAAGAAGAGTTCATTCTTGATTTGTTTGTTCATTTAGCAAATTGTCACTGAGTCTCTGTTCTGTAGCAGGCCAGTGCTAGGGACAAAATATGAATGAGACTTGTTTTTTGCTCACAGGAGCTTTCAGGCCAGTGAAAATACATCCTGATAACCACATCATCAGGGTTTTCGTGGAAGGGTGTACTGTGGTAGTTCCTGGTGTGGGGTGAGAATCAGTAAAGCTTCATAGAGGAAGGGACCTTTGAGCTGGGTTTTGAAGGATGAGTAGGAGTTTTCCAGGTAGACAGGTAGCTTGAGTGGAGGAGTACAGCAGAGCCATGGCAGTATAGAAGAGTGGAGTGTGTTTGGGAATGAAGCCTAATGTGGCTGCATTTGTAAAGGAGACAGGGCAGCAGAGGGAAGTTGGGATGTTGAAGGTCATGGTAGAGAGGCTGGATTTTTTCTGAGGCAGCAGGGACCATGGAGAGTTAAGCAGAAGGATGACGTTTTTGCTCCTGGCCAATTTGGAAGATGAACTGGAAGGGGAGAGGCCAGAGGGTCTTGCAGTTGCCCAGGAGAGCGTAGATGCTCCAGAAGTGGCAGGGTGCTTCAGGATAAGTGGATTCCAGGGACAATAAGGGGGAAAGACAGGTCATAGCTACGAGGTGGGTGGAGCGGGGACGGAAAGGGAAGGGGTGAGCATGACGTCTGAGGTTCCTCGTGGGCAAACTGGTGGCGTCTTTCACTGGAATGGAGAACAGTGAAGGGGGTCTGGTTTGGAGTGGAAGAAGCTGAGTTTTTTATTTGATGCTGAGTTTTGTCGAACAGGTTGACTCCATAGAACACCCTCCACCCATCCATTCACCTATCCTGCCTGCAAGTACTTACTGAGCCCAAATTGTGGGCCAGGCAGTGTCAGACGCTGAGCCACAGTGGCAGAGAGACAAGGTTCAGCATTCATGGGGCTTATATACTGGGAGGGAGGCAGATACTCTGCAGGGGGCTGTCCGGTTGGCTCTTTGGAACAGATGCTTGGGAGAGAGGTTTTAAGAGTGGTTGTGAATCGCTTGAACCCAGGAGGCAGAGGTTGCCGTGAGCCGAGATCATGCCACTGTGCTCCAGCCTGGGCAACAGAGCGAGACTCTGTCTTAAAAAACAAAAACAAACAAACAACAAAAAAAGAGAGAGAGGCGGAAAGTGTGCTTGGGACCCAGGGACTGGTTTCCACTACCTCCAGCCTCCAGCAGCAAGCCAGCAGGGAAGAAACTCTTGGTTCCTTGTGGGGACTTTGCCAGTTGCTGGGAGAGCAGTGCCCCTATCCAGAAGCAGGACGCTGTGAGAAGCTGGCGGGCAGGCACCCGCTTCTCCCTGCTTCCAGTCAGAACCCCCCTGGTCCCGATGGTGGATGCCCCGAGCCGGGGGCCAGGCCAGGCTGACCTCCCCACCCCGGTCCTCCAGGCTAGGGAAGTTCGCCGTTTTCGTCCATGCCAAGATGGCTGAGCTGCAGGTGCGGGACCTGAGCCTGAAGCTGCAGGGCATCCCTGGCCACGTGTTCCTCCTCCAGCTCCTCCACGGGCAGCACACGAAGCACCAGTTCCTGCTGAGGGCCCGGACGGAGTGAGTGGGCCTGGGTGTGGGGAGAGAGGAGGCCCCTCCCCAGGACGGGCACCCCTGTGACATCCTGGCCTTGATTCTCCCCAAGTGCCCAGCTCCTCCCTGACTTGGGCAGGACATAGGGGCAGAGGGCAGGGCTGGAGGCCAGAGCAGGAGAGCCTGCCCCACAGGTGGTGCTGGGGAGCTGCCACCTCCCCCTCACTCTGGGCATCTCTTGTATGTAAACCTCTGTATCCTGCTATCTCTGGCTTAAGGATCATGGTATTAGGCAGGACAGAGGCAGGGCTGGCATCAGGGGGTTCTGAGCCTGTTGTTATGCTCAGAGCTGGGTGGAGCACAGGCTTGTGAACAGGGCTGTGGGGTGTGCCCCGGGGTAGGGCAGGCATGACCTGGGTCCTGGGCCTGGACATCATGCCCAGCTCCCCCAGCCCTGGTTTCCGCACCCTGCCCTGGGCAACTGCACCTTGCATGTTGTGACAGCTCGGCCTCCCCCTTCCCTAGAAGTGAGAAGCAGCGATGGATCTCAGCCTTGTGCCCCTCCAGCCCCCAGGAGGACAAGGAGGTCATCAGTGAGGGGGAAGGTAGTAGCTGAACCCCACCGGTTACATCCCTCCGTTCCTCCCTCCCTCCTTCCCTCCCTCCCTCCCATCCTTGGTGCTGTGTTTCTGGCAGGGCTGTGGGGAGAGAGATTAACGCCTGGGGCAGTCAGAGGTAGCTCCAAGGAATCTCGAAGGCTGAGCGGGACTTACATAGCACAGGTAGACTCTGTATCCACAGGCAGCATTCTGGAGATCACAAAGCCTCATATCCTCCCATTTCACCCCTGTTTTACAAGTTAGAAGAGAGGTTCAGAGATAAATGGACTTGCGTAAGTTCACTCAGTCAGTAGCAGAGCTGAGAGCAGAGCCCGGGTCTGTCTCTGTCTTTGCGTCAGTTGCAAACAGGACAAGAAGCAGCGGAGCCAGGGTGTGAGGTGTGGTAGGGGTGCTGGTGGCAGGTGAAGAGGGATCTGCCCAGTGGGAATAAAGGTTTCTCCTTGGGTGTGAAGTGAAGCTGGTAAGCCAGGGCGTGACCTGATCATAGAGAGCCTTCCTAGAGTGGACTTCGGGAGCTACTGAAGGTTTGTTTGGTTTGTTGGTTTTTTTTTTTTGAGACAGGGTCTTGCTCTGTTGCCAGGCTGGAGTGCAGTAGCGTGATCATGGCTCACTGCAGTCTCAATCCTCGGGAGGATCAAGCGATCCTCCCGCCTCAGCCTTTTGAGTAGCTGGGACCCCATGTATGCATGACCACACCTGGCTAATTTTTATTTTTTGTAGAGGCAGAGTCTTGCTATGTGGCCCAGGCTGGCCTCAAACTCCTGGGCTTGAGCAGTCCTCTCTTTCAGCCCCCCAAAGTGCTGGGATTACAGGCATGAGCCATCGTGCTGGGCCTACACAGTAGGCTGGAGTGCAGTGGCGCAATCTCGGCTCATGGCAACCTCCACCTCCTGGATTTAAGCAATTGTCATGCCTTAGCCTCCCTAGTAGCAGCTGGGATTACAAGCACTTGCCGCTACACCCGGCTATTTTTTTTTTTTTTTTTTCAGAGAGAATCTTGCCCTGTCGCCTATGCTGGAGTATAGTGGTGTGATCTCAGCTCACTGCAACCTCTGCCTCCTGGGTTCAAATGATTCTCCTGCCTCAGTCTCCTGAGTAGCTGAGATTACAGGTGCCCACCACCACACCCAGCTAATTTTTGTATTTTTAGTAGAGACAGAGTTTTGCCATGTTGACCATGGCTAATCTCGAACTCCTGGCCTCAAGTGATTCACCTGCCTCAACCTCCCAAAGTGCTGGGATTAAAGGCGTGAGCCACCACACCCGGCCTTATTGGAGGCTTTTGAGCAGAGGAGTTAGGGCTGAGCTTTAGGTAGTAAAGGGAAAGAACAGGAACTTGTCCCACCGAGTATCTGCCATAGGCCAGGCCCAGGGCTAGGGGCTTTGTATTTGCGTTATTTCTAATTTAATCCTCATGGCAACCCTACTAGGTAGACTCACTGTCCCTCCCTCCCTCTCTCCCTCCCTCCCTCCCACTCTCCCTCCCTCCCTCCCTTCCTTCCTTCCATCTCTCTTTTGTTGCCCAGGCTGGAGTGCAGTGGCGCGATCTCAGCTCACTGCAACCTCCGCCTCCAGGGTTCAGTACTCCTGCCTCAGCCTCCCGAGTAGCTGGGACTACAGGTGCATACCACTATGCCCAGCTAATTTTTAGTCTTTTTAGTAGGGATTGGGTTTCACTGTGTTAGCCAGGATAGTCTCGATCTCCTGACCTCATGATCTGCCCACCTTGGCCTCCCAAAATGCTTGGATTACAGGCATGAGCCACCACACCTGGCTTCATTTTTCATATCTGAGACAACCTTGACTCAGAAGGTAAAGAAAATTGCCCTAGGTCACACAGCCAGTAAGTGACAGAACTGGGATTCAAGCCAGGCCTGGCCTCAGAGTCTGTGGCTTTTGATGCTACCAGCCCACCTTGTCTAATGGAAAGAGCTGAGGACCAGGAAGGGGGTCGATGCTCTGGCTTGAGCTAAGAGTCCCACCTGGGCTGGGGCTGAGCTCCCTACTCCCATGTGGTCAGAGTAGGTCCCTGGGAGTTAACATATGACCCCTGAAGGATAAGGAGAGGTTGTCATGAAAAGATCTGGGGAAGAGCATCTGGCAGAAGGAACCGCCAGTGCAAAGGCCCTGGGGCAGGAGGGAGCTTAGAGTGAGGAACAGCAGGGAGGCTGGTGTGGCTGGAGCTTTTTGAGTGAGTAGGGAGGGAAAGTTGAGGGGAGAAGCAGAGGCTAGCAGGGGGCGACGCCAGACCATGAAGGGCCTTGTGGGACTTAGGGAGGAGTTTGGATGTTATTCTAAGAGGAGTGGGAAGTCCTGGAGAGCTTTAAACAGGGGAGTGATGCAGCTAGAATCCCAGTTGGGAAGGATGGACTGAAGGGAGCACCAGAGCGACGTTAGGGGCATATTACGGGGCCATTACTGTTTTGTGTGGGGTATCTGGGGGCAGTTGGATGTTGGGGTCTGAAGGTCAAAAGCAAGGTGTTGGGCTGGGCACCGTGGCTCACGCCTGTAATCTTACCACTTTGGGAAGGCAAGGCGGGGGGATCACCTGAGATCCGGAGTTAGAGACCAGCCTGGCCAACATGGAGAAACCCCGTCTCTACTAAAAATACAAAATTAGCCGGGCGTGGTGGGGAGTGCCTGTAATCCCAGCTACTTGGGAGGCTGAGGCAGGAGAATCGCTTGAACCTGGGAGGCGGAGGTGGTGGGAAGTGGAGATAGCGCCATTGTACTCTAGCCTGGGCAACAAGAGTGAAACTTGGTCTCAAAAAAAAAAAAAAAGCAAGGTGTTGGCTTGACTGAAGAGGGGAGAGCCGCTGGTATAGACGCAGAAACCGAAGCTGGGAGGGACTGGATTCACCCGCACTTGTGTTTCGGGTAGGAGAGGAGTAGGTCAGGGTGGGCAGAGGGCAGCCCTGTCTTGAACATAGGCCTGTGGCATGGTAGTGGCAGAAGAATAATAGCCTCAGTGGCCACCTTCCCACCCACTTACTTCCTCCTGCCACCTCTCCCTGTCCTACCCATGCTCCCGTCCCTGCCCATCCTGCCCTTCGGACTCCCTGACCCTCCCCTGGGCTGTCAGATCGTCCCCAGGTTCAGTGTGTTAGGACATATAAGGCACTGCAGCCGGATGAGCTGACCTTGGAGAAGACTGACATCCTGGCAGTGAGGACCTGGACCAGTGACGGTGAGAAGTCTCCTGGGAAAGTCTCCCTGATGGGGCTTGGGTGGGCAGGAGACAGCTAGACGTCTAAGACATCACAGGGAAGGGTTATGCAAGTGTTGATCTGCCACAGCATGTGGGAATCAGGTTAGACAAGAGGAGGAACTTCCTGCTTGTAAAGATATAAGATTGAGAATGATGGGGGAGAGTGGGAAATACCCTTTCAGAGGATATCAGGATAAACAGGTCAGAAGTTCATCTACAAGACAGCCAGAGACAGGGTCCTTCCTGGAGCTAGGAGATGCTGAGATTAAGTCACTTTGGCCCCAAGTGTGCAGACAAAGCTTGCATCAGGGCTGAGGTGTTCCCTTCCAGTCCTGGCTCTGGTGCCCCTTTGATGATGTTGTTCTTGGCCTGTGTGTCCCTAGGTTGGTTGGAAGGGGTCCGCCTGGCAGATGGTGAGAAGGGGTGGGTGCCCCAGGCCTACGTGGAAGAGATCAGCAGCCTCAGTGCCCGCCTCCGAAACCTCCGTGAGAATAAGCGAGTCACAAGTGCCACCAGCAAACTGGGGGAGGCCCCTGGGTGAGGGGCAGCCACGGCCTGGGACCCCACCTCCATGCCCAACTCCTAGATGGTCCTGGAGGGGCCTGCAGTGTCTCCACTGCTCCCCAAGCTGCTGCTGCTGGCACTTCGCTTCTGTGGCCTTGACATTGAGGGCACAGGCTGGACACAGGAATGGGGGCGCCTCCAGAGGGTCTCTTTGTCCTCATGCTCCTCAATGTCCACACTTCAAGGCCAAGGGCAGTTTCTTCCTCCGACATGGGGACCATAACAGGGGACCACTGATACCTGGCAGGGACTGGGGCCCTCTCCATTCTGTGCCCTCAATCCTGCCTGACTCTTGGTCCTTCCCCAGGCAGGGACCTGGCTGGGGAACATCCTGGTGCTGGTGGTGCTGGGACCTATATATATTTATGTATATCTGGGGTCTTGTCTACCACCTCCCCTGGCCAGAGCCCGAGTGGGTGCTGGTTGCTGTGTCTTGTCTGTAAATAAACTCTCATGCCTTTGCTTGGAGTCTGTGATCCATCTGATGCTGTCCCCGTCCCGGCAGTCCTGTTTTCCCAGCTAAACATCAGGAGAGTTGAGGACCAGGAAGGGGGTCGGCACTCTGGCTTGAGCTAGGAGCTGGCTCCAAACTGGGGCTTTGCCTTTCTCTGGAGTTGGCCTCTGAGCTGTAAGACGGTGACCAGGGGCAGGAGGACGACTGTGTGTCAGCTAGGCTGCTTTTGCCTGCAAGTAACAGAATGTCAGATACGAACAGACTTAAACATTAAAGAAATTTGATTAAGTTCCTTAAAGAGATTTGATTAGGGCCGGG